TTTCCCCCTCCCGAGACATTCCCCCCCCTGACTCTCGACTTCCTGACTTCCCACTCCCGCCTCCGACTCTGATCCCACTCCTGCCGCCCTTCCCGTCCCTGACTCCGACTCCCCCTCCCGCTCCCGCTCCTGCCCGCTGCACCCGACTCCTGACCCCGATTATCCCCCCCACCGGGCGACCTTCCCCCCACACGACTTCCTTCCTCCCACGGGCAACCCACGCGCGATCCCCCGAATCCACTTCCCCCCCGCTCCATGTTCCCCCCCTATCATCATCATCATCATAATAATAATAATAGATAGGATCGCTTCGCCCTCGATTTACCCATATATCCCCTTATTATTATTTGCTTCTAACATCCATTTTGATACGTTTAATCTCGACATTTTTTTAATTTTATTTTTCTCTCTCAAATATATGTGACGATATACCTATAATATATATATACCTTTTTTTTTTTTTTTTCGAAATTTTTAAAAACACATAGGATTAAGCATTCTCTCTCGACATTTCATCTTTGAAATTCGAAAATCAGTTTAATTAATTCTTTTTTCGAAATTTTTTGAAAATTTCAGAATTAATTAAAGTCTTTTTCGAATTTTTTTGTAATTTGAAAACATTTTAGAATTAATCAAACTCTTTCCTTTTCGTAACTCGAAGTACGTTAGAATTTCTCATTTTTTGACATTTCTTTGAAATTCGAAACTACTTTCAATTCATTCGTTTTTCTCTTCGAAAATTTTGAAAACATTTTAAAATTAATTTAACTATTTTTCGACACTTCTTTTTCAACATTTCTTTTTCAACATTCTTTTTCAACATTTTTTTTTAAAAACATTTCTACTTAATTTTTTATTATTATTATTATTTTTATTTTTTTTCAAAAATTTTGAAAATACGTTAGAATTAATTAAATTCTTTTTCGATATCTCTTTTGGAAATTCAAAAATAATTCTAATTATTTTTTTTTCCCAGTATTTTAATTCACAATTTTTTTTCGCAATTTTTGTTGAAATTTGAAACTCTTTTTACAATTCGGAACTACTTTTCTTTTAAAAATGTTATTCTAAACCCCTCAATTAATTTCAACTAAATTCAATTAATTCACGACTGAATTAATCTCTTTATTTGAAATTAATTATCCTTTTTCATAAATTTCGACATTTTTCTTTTGAAAAATTCTTGCCAAATATTTTAAAATTTTCCTCTTCTTAATTATTTTCAGAATTTTTATTGTTTTTTATTATTATTTTTTCCCCTAATTCGAAAATATATTTTTTTAAAATTTCACGTTTTCTTGTAAATAAATTTAAATCTAAATCAGAATTTATTTTTTCGAAATTAATTATCTTTTTCTGTTCAGCGTTTATTTTTTGAAAAAAACTTGGGGATTATCTTTATTTTTTAATTTATTGATAAATAAATAAGGGATTCCCCCCCCCCACACACACATGCCACCACGCCAAACCAAGAACTCCCAACGTGCCGCCGTTGACGCCGCCGCTGCTGCCGCCGCCACCGCTGCTACTGCATCCTCCACACCCGCTCAGGCTGCGTCCTCCATCAACATGTCTGACATCCGCACCGACTCAATCGATAGCATCGCCCGCAACCTCGCAGGCGAACAACCACCAGCAAACACCGCCACCCCCGACCTCTCCGCCATCCTCCACGCACTCAACACCCTCCGAACCTCCGTCACCGCCTCTCTCGATGACATAAAGGCCAACATGTCGTCCTTATACGACCGCGTCACCACGATCGAAGAGACCATCCCCTCCATCACGGTCATCACCACAGCGCAAACCACTCCAACCTCCACAGCGCAAACCACTCCCTCCTCCACAGCCGCCTCCAGCAACACCCGCCGTCGACCTCCTCCACTCCTACCACCTCTACCACCACATCCACCAACCCTTCAATCTACACCATCGTTCCGTTCCCTCCACCTCCTCCCTCATCCGGCGCATCCAGCACACCGCCTCATTCCTTGCCCATCCATGTCAACCCTCCTCCCCCTCCGCACTCCCAAACCCTCTCCCAACCCATCATGACCAACTCCACCATCCCCACCATCCGTCCCACCTACTCCCAAGTCACCTTCGGGGTCTACCCCGCAATGCCACAACTCCCCCCCAACTACCTCCTTGAGGACAACAACCAAATCGACTACACCTGCTACGACACCACCCCCGATAACCTCAGCTTCAACACCCTCGCCCAGATCGTTTCCCGCGACGGGGAAATCCCCCATTCCTTCCTATCCGGGGAAATCATGTCCTTCTCCGGCCTCCCCTACGAGGATGTTTTCCTTTTCCTAACCCAGCTCCAAAACTCCTTTCACCTCCACCACATGCCCCTTGCCCACTGGCTCCCCATTGCCACCTCCCGCCTCCTCGGCATTGCCACCTCCCGCCTCCTCGGCAATGCCTCCAAAACTCCTTTCACCTCCACCACATGCCCCTTGCCCACTGGCTCCCCGCCGAGCCTCCGGAGGACCACGTAACTCCTTACTCCACTGGGTCAAACTTCTCACTGCCACCTTCCGCCCCCAGAAAACCATTGACGACTACCTTGAACAATTCTGCCACCTCCGCCAGACCGGTCCCACGGACCGCTTCGTCCAATACGTCCGCTCCCTCCGCCACCACCTCCCCCACACCGTCATKCCCGACTTTGCGTTCATCTCCCGCATCAAGCGAGTATGCCACAAAGATCTTGCAACCGCCCTCGCCCACGAACCCGACATGCCCCTTGCTGACCTCCTCTCTCGCATGCTCCACCACGATCGACTCCTCCACCCCCATCAGCAGTCCGCGCCCTCTCCGTCCCGCCCCCTCTCTTTCCATAACGACACCACTTAACCCACCTCCGATGACGACTTCGACACTGCCTCTCTCGACCCCTCCCAATTCACCATTGAGGACCTCCAAACTGCACACCTTATACGAATGGAACGCCAGGATCGTGCCTCCCAACTGCCTTCTTGCTCCCCACCCCATCGCCTCCACAAACTCACACCCGCAGAACACATAGACCTCCAGGAACACAACGGGTGTTTTCGCTGCCGCCAGTTAGGTCATCAACAGACCAACTGCCCCAACGCTGGCCACTTTACTCGACAGGCCCCTCGCTCCACGGGACCCGACCCTTCTACTCCCACTTCTTCCTCCACCGCGACAACCGCCCCCTCCCCCACCTGAACAATGTCCCCCTATCTTGCGCAATCCATCGCTAAACCCCTATATAAACCCTGCTACAACCTTGCAACCCTGCTCTACACACACCCTTGAACCCAGTCCACCCTTCCCTTGATCCTCATCCTGATGTCTGATCTGCCCTTGCCCTCGCCTAGCCTTGCCCCATCTGTCTTCTCCACTACCTTGTCTCTCTTGTCCAATGCTTGTGAACTTGCGTGACGCCGACGATAAAGGATCTAATGGCAAGCGTACGAGGACGATGGTCTTCTGCCTCACTGTTCATGGAGATTATGCAGCTGGTTTGGCCACCATGCTGTTTCATTGGTCGGCATCCCGACTCGCGGAATTACTGGAGCAGCAACTTGTGACATGGATCTTTGCATCAGTCTGCGACTTCCTTGCTTCCAGATCAGACCTCATTGCAGTTCGTATACCGGACGCACCCTAGCACTTGGACTTTGACAATTGAACTACTACTACGCTTCTTGGACTTCTACCTATCGCAGCTGTTGAAGACCGCTTCTACCACCTACTCCAAAGATCTGATCAAGACCGCGGCAGACCCCCTTTCAAGACACTTGGACACTTTGTTCCCATAAGATTCTGCTTCCGACTCCTTCGGAAACACCAGCCTTTGCATCCTAAACAAACATTTTCATCTTTATTTTTCCTAACTTTGACAACCCTGTAGAACATCATTAGCAGATCCCTGTTTCCCTAACCATTGTTCCCCGTACCCACTAGACCATCAGTAGACATCCCCTGTTCCCATGACCATTGTTTCCCTTACCCACTACAACATCAATAGAAATACCCTGTTTTACTGAACACCGTTTCCCTTACCCAGTAGAACATCAATAGAAGTTCCCTGTGCCCTAAACTTTGTTCCCCCTTAACCTATAGTGAACCATGAGTCCCCTTAGTTCATCACTAGGACCACCCTGCTCCCTATCTTCCCTTTAGTTCATTCGTAGGACTACCCTGTTCCTCGCAACCCCCCCTAGTTCATCAGTAGGACAACTCTGTTCATCGGTACCAAACCCTGTTCCCTCTTACTCCCGCAGCCCATGCCACCCACATCATACCCCTCTTCCCTTTCGACTTGTTAACCAGTGATCGGCCCCGTCCCGTCCTTCACAGATTTCAACATTGCTTCATGATTTTTGGCATCCGGGTCGTTGCCTTCTAGAGGGAGGGGATAGTGTTACGGACTCCGCCAGGGCTCGATCCCTGGTCTATCTTTTTGTTGTTTCAACTGCATCCCGTTTTTGGCCTGGCACCCTTTTTCCAAACTCCTCCTTTGGTACCATAGGATTTTTGACAACTGCCGTCATGCTGCAATTCGGGCGCCACTTTCAAATACTGCATTTTTTAGTTCTGCCCTCGGGGCCTTTGCATAAATGCCCCTGGTACCGTACGTGTCACCGGTACTTATACCGGTTCCCCGTACGGTACGGGGACCAGTCTCGTACCAGTTTTTTGTTGTTGTACTCGTACTCAGTGGGACTTGCTCCTGTTGGGCATTCGGAATCCAAGACTTCGACTTTGTGTCCTTGCCCCGGTATCTACGTCCGACCCTCAGTCGTGTCGAGTGAGTGCGTGTGTGTGTGTGCTCTTACTCTCTCCCTCTCTCTCTCCTCTCCCTCGGCTCTCCCTGTCTCCCTCAGCCTCCCGCTCGTTACAGCTATTGTGCATTGAAGAGGTGTTATTGGGTCATTGTGGTTGCCAAAGAACGAGATTTTAGACAGTGGCCGTTACTGTTAGTATTGCTACTTTGTCAAGTTGTTGCAGGGATCAACCTGTTGAGTTCGAGGTTGCTGATGTAGGGTTGGTAGAGAAAGATAAAGTTGTTTTCTGACTGCCTCAAGTGTGTTGCAGCATCGAGAGTTTGAGCATAACTGTTATTTTTACTACCGTTGAACTGAAGTTAAAGTTGTTGAACTGTTGTCGTTTTGTTGAGCTATCAGCACTGCTATTATCCATAGTCTACCGCATTGCTGCTAATTAACAGTTCTTCTCGTAACCAATAAACTAGACTGAGAAAAAGAAGAGCAACGAGAGAAAAATTAAGTCATTCAGATCCCAGAAAGGTGTACTCAGACTCTCGTAAAAGGGCATTGAAACTTTCAATCGCCTCAGGGCTCAACAATGGTGGCTAGTTATAAAACTTGAAGTTAACGACTTGCAAGTGTTGCAGGACATTTGTCGAGTTGTTGTAGGGATCAACCTGTTGGGTTCGAGGTTGCTGATGTTACAGACCGTTACTGCAGCTATTGATAAGGGTTGGTAGAGAAAGAGAAAGTTGTTTTTTGGCTGCCGCAAGTGTGTTGCAGCATCGAGAGTTTGAGCATAACTGCTATTCTTACTACCGTTGAACTAAAGTTAAAGTTGTTGAACTGTTGTCGTTTTGCTAAGCTATCAGCACTGCTATTATCCATAGTCTACCGCATTGCTGCTAATTAACAGTTCCTCTCGTAACATCCCCTCGTTTATTGTCCTCTTCTCTCGCTCTGCCTACGGTTTACCGGGTAGTTCTGTTTGTGACGATATATATATATATATATATGTTTATGACGATATATATATATATATATATGGGTTTAATCTTCAAAGCGAGTGTAGGACTGAGTCATTCATTTTAGAAATAATGCTCAGTCGAACCAAATTACCTCCAGTTATAACTCTTAGTTGAACTCTCTTGTTTGTGATAAGGCTATAATCAGACCATTCACTTTAGAAACAATGTTCGTCTGGTCTTGTTCGCATATATATATATCGTCACAAACAGAATATATATAAATATATATATATATATATATATATATACATATGTATATATATATATATATTATGAATTTAAACTTTTTCAATTCTGATAAGGAATATAAATATGGTAATATTATTTATATATATATATACATATATAGTATAAATACAGAGAGTCATATTCTCAGTTATCAGTAAGTGTTTGTTGTCTCAGATGAAACCATTCATCTTAAAAACAATGCCTAGTCTTTTGACCTCAACCTCCCGCATAAGAAAAATCCAACGAGTTAAGTCATTCATGATAGAAAAAAAGGATGCCCCTACAAGTTTAAGAAGTCAAAACCCAAAGAAACAATAACAAAATCATTCATCTTAGAAACAATGTCTAATTGTTGAGAAAACAAGTCAACGAAACAAAGCAACTAAGTCATTCATTTTAGAAACAATGCTTGGTCCATAAAAAAACAGAATAAAACAAAGCGATCGGGTCATTCATGTTAGAAACAATGTCTGATCTTTTAAGACTCACCAAAATGTCAACAAGATTGTCGTCCTCCTACCTTCCCCCAATTTACCACTGTTTGCCTGAATTCAAATAACATAAATAATAGATGATTTTCACTCATGCATTCTCTTTACTTAATCTATATTAAATCATGAACAAGAAACCAAAGTCTATAGGCGCATGAATACATAGCAGATAAAAATAGAGGTTTGTACTGATATGTGTTTAGTGGGTTCACACAACGATGAGATTTACTGTACCCGTCAATTATCTGCATCAAAAACCTCGCTTAGAGTCCGACATAGCTCCCGCAATCGGTGCTAGACCTCCCACAAGGCCTTGGTGTGGTCCTACGGATTTTTAATGATGCATCATCGAGGGGTTGTTGTTTCGTGGATCTACAATGTTGTTACTAACAAAACACAGGATGCAGGTTATCAACCTTATTGCTACCATTTGACTAACCTTCGAGTTGTGAAGATTGCGAACAAATTAAGACTGCAATTGTTGTTAAAGGATTGAAGGTTGTCATTGCTGATGAAATTGTGATCGTATATAATGTGACTATTAGATACTTTAGGGTGACCAGACATTGTTTCTAAGACAAATGGTGTAGTAATAAGTTCAATGACGAGATAAGTAGTTGTGCAACTTGTTCGTGTATAACTAAGAAAAAAAAGTGAGCATTGTTTCTAATATGAATGACCTAACTTAAAGCCCTATGTAAGATGGGATAAAAAGTTGATCACTTGAGGGTTCAACCAGTTACTTGTATGTGAAAATAACTTGAGATTTTTTGTGACACTACTTACCCATTATTGTATAAACTTGCATGTGGTTGAATATGAGTTCTACTTGTTATGAGTCTTAACCTTGATAGGTAGTGGCTTTAAATGTTATCAGGCTCGAGCTATAAAAATTAGTTCAATTTCTGCATTTTCTGAGTTAAGTTTATTTCTCATACGTGGCTTTGGATAAATTTTGGAAAGACACTTCGCCAAAAGAAGTGTTATCCAAATTTTTACAAATCCTAGGAGTTGGTCAAATTTTTGTCTTACAAACTCAAATTTTGTCTGAATATAATATTTGACTTAGTAAAAATATAGGAAGCCTACATTTCTAGAGGAACTGCTGCTCAATGTTTTGTGAAATCAAAGAGTTAGACAAAATTCGACTTTGTGAAATTATAATTAATTTTAGAATTTGTATTTAATTTTTTACAAATTTTCGAAATACATTTTTTCCAAAGGAAGTGCATATAGAATTTTATAAATATAAAGGATTAGTTAAATTTTGTTTTAGAAGAATTCAAGTTTTGTCTTCGAATTTATATCCGACTTGATATAAATCAGAAAAACTTATTTTTTTATATGAAATGTTGCTAAAATGTTTATTAAATCAGAAAGTTAGACAAAACTCAGTAAAATCGTTCTCAAATTTCATATTCAGTTGAGTATAAATTATGAAAATACACTTTCTCTAGAGGGACTGTTGCCGAAATGTTTCCTAGTTTCAAGGATTTAAATTATATTTTGATAAAAAAAACTTTGGCGATTCATCGTGTATAGGGGAGGCACTTCTAAAATTTTCCTTATTTTTTTGGCATCTATTAAGAGGAAGATCTAGAT